GGGAAGCCTGCTTAAGGCCATAAAGAGCCTTGCGAAGCTTGTAGACGAGTTTGGAGCACCGTGATCCAAAAAACTCAAAGCCTGGGGGTTGCCGCATAAATATCTCCTCCTTCAAGTTCCCATTAAGGAAGGCTGTTTTTACATCCATGTGATGTGCGCACAAACCAAACTCCGCTGAAAAAGCCAGAAGCGTTCTGATACTTGTCTGCTTCACAATTGGTGAGAACGTCTCATCAAAATCCACTCTAGGAACTTGTGAATATTCTTGAGCAACAAGTCTTTCTTTGTAATGCTGTACCAATCCATCAGGATTTCTGTGAAGCTTGAACACCCAGCGTGATCCAACAACTTCACGTCCTTTAGGAGCTTCCACCAAGTCATAAGTCTAGTTCTCATCAAGAGAATTCAACTCATCTTGCATTGCTGAAATCCACTTATCTGCATCAGGAGCTTGAATCGCCTGCTCAAAGTTGACTGGTTCAAAAGCTATTTCTATTGCTGCAAAAGACCATTGCTTGGGATGAGGTGCTCTGCTTGATCGTCCAGATGATGTCCGCCCACAGTTCTCCACATTGAATGGTAGATCACGTGTGAGCCTGTCAACTTCTCCAGTTTGTGCATGATGAGCAGCATCACCCTGTTCTTCAGGAAGAAAAGATCCAAAGACTGGTGTTGGATGATGATCTGCTAAAGGAGATGAGGGATAGATGATTGTCAGATCATTGTCATCTTCATCATCGTCTTCAACACCATCCCAACTCCATTCTTCCGGCATCCAGTTCATGTTTTGATCTGAGCTTCCTTCTTCTTGAACACGATCTTTATAGAGTGTTCCTTCATCAAAACGAACGTCAGTGCTTACAAAAATTTGATGATTACCAGGCTGGTACAGGCGATATCCTTTTGAATTGGAATCGTATCCAACAAGAAAGGCCAGATTGCTTCTGCTCTCCAATTTGCCGAGACGCTCATCCACCCTTTTTGCAAAGCTTAAACAACCAAAACACCTGAGATGCACCACCGATTGTCTTTGACCAGTCCAAAGCTCTTCTGGGATCTTGTTGGGATTGCGAGAATGAGGGAGAAGGTTTTGAACATGCACAGCTGATCCAACTGCTTCAGCCCAGAGGAATTTTGGTAGTCCTGATTCTTGAAGGAAGCATCAAACTGCGTTCATGATTGTCCTATTCTTGCGCTCAGAGACTCCATTCTGTTGAGGGGTATGAGAGCAAGAGTGCTGATGAAAAATTCCTTGTTCAGCACAGAACTACTGAAAGGACTTGTTGACGTATTCCCCTCCTGAATCAGTATGTAAACAACCAACCCTTTGACCAGTTTTCACTTCAGCTTTTGCTACGAATTGCTTGAATTTGCTGAAGACTTCATCTTTGTGACGAAGAAAGAAGACGTCCATGTGCCTGGAGAAATCATCTGTAAATGTCACAAAATACTTCATGCCATTCTGAGCAAATAGTCGCATGGGTCCACAAACATCTGAGTGAATGAGCTTCAAGGGATGAGTGCTTCTGATCACAGCAAGTTTGAAAGTACGACGGGTTTGCTTGCCAAGAATGCAAGTGTGACATTTTGCTGAACTTTGAAGAACGTGGTCGTTGAAGCCATCCACAAGCTCCTGCTTCTGCATACGCCTGATGAGAGGGGGATTGGCATGTGCAAGTCGAGAATGCCAGAGAGAACTATCTGCAGTCATGCATATCTCAGGAGCATTCGATTTTTCTCCAAAAGCTATCTCCTTCTCAAACAAGTTACCACATCTGGGAAAATGCAGTAATGGACGGCCATTTGCAAGAACTTGACATTGATGTTTGGAAAAATTCACATCCAGACCTTCATCTGTAAGCCTGGCTACAGAAACCAGATTCTTCACTACCTTTGGAACATACCACGCATTCTTCAAGAGCAGAGACTTTCTTCCCAGTGGAACTCGCACATCCCCAGTTGCGCGAACAGGTAAAATGCTTCCATCTCCCACACGAATGCACTTCCCTTTTGCAGTACGCAACTGCACAAAGTTCGACCCGCTTTGCATCAGGTGTCTCTCTGAACCTGAATCAATGGTCAGTTTTTCAGAAACATTTGGAACTGCTACCTCAGATGATGCTGCAAGTTCCTGTGTTTCCCCTTCCTGAGCATTTGCTGCGAGCCCTATGTTCATGCGCTGCAGCCAAGCTGCAACTGGGCAATCCTTGGAGTAGTGTCCTGGCATCCCACAGGTCCAGCATTCCTGTTTGTTCTTGCCCAGAAAACAATCTTGAACTGCTACTTCTTTACCAGAATTCCCTGAATTCTGCTGCTGCTGCGGATTTCCCCTAAACCCACGACCTCTGCCTCGTCCTCCTCTTCCACGGCCTCCTCTGCCTTGATGATTTCCAGCCCATAGAGCTGAATCAGTCCCTGATTGATTGATTGATGCAGAAGCATTTGATGTAGACTGTGAGATCAAAATATGGGAAGGGCTCTGATCAAAGTCCACAATCAAACCTTTCGCAGCCAGCTCCGAGCTTAAATTTTGCTCAGCTTGTTCAAAGTTGAGCGACATCATGCGAACAATAGGGACGAAAGAACTAAAAGACGAATCTTGCATGGCCTCGCAAAGTGCCAGAACTTTCTTGCTTTCGTTGAACGCTGCTGGACTGCCTTCAAGCTCCATCCACAGATCTTGCATCTTGGCGAGGAACTCTTCAAAGTTCTCACCTGGATGAAAACGGGTCTCACGAATGCAAGTCTTGACCATGTTGATCTTGGAGAGGGAAAGAACAGCATACTTGTTGTGGAGATGAGCCCAGATCTCACAAGCACACTTATGATGCAAACGCATCATAAGGGCATCTGCAAGCTTAGAAAGAATCAATCCTTTTGCTCGAGATTCCTTCTTCTCCAGTGCAGCTTGTTCCCCTGGATCAAGCTGTTGTCGAGCTGCTGCAACAGAGGCACGAATTGCCTCTTCATCCACGACTTCTCCTTCCACCGAAGTTGAAGCTCCCAACACAGCAGGGGCTTGCTGCGTACGAGCATCTGCAGCGATTGTCAGTGGTGAAACGATTTCCCAGAGTTCTTCCATCTGCAGCACGCGCATCATTTTCTCGGACCAGGTGTTGAACCCTCTCCTCCCATCAAAGGCAGTGACTCCCTGAAGCAAGATCAATCCAACTTTGCTGCAGCTCATGATGTGAGGCACAAAGAAAGGAGAAGAAAGAGTTCAGAAACTGAGCTCCGATACCAAGAAAGAAAAGCGGAGCAAGAACAATGGATTTCACTTCGACACACCCATTGATTCATATATGGCTGTATATATATACAACTTCAACCAAATCGGAAATCACCAGAGATCTAATCATGATTCGGACTGTTTGTCGTGTTCATCATTATTCCTACATAATACTTGGTTTGCTTATTCATATTACTTCTCAGTTATTAATCATATTGATCAATTTAAAATTTATAGTTATGAACATGTTTATAATTTGGATTAATCTTAAACATTAGAATAAACTAAAATATACTAAGAAGTATTTAGGAATTTTATAAATTATAAATATATAATTAATCTAAATGAATAAAAACTATACAAAATAACTACCATAAAGGATGAATCCTATCTCCAAAGTGTCTTTTTCTTCCACGGATGACCCCACTTGCAATTTGTCGATCAAACACAGTGCAAAGATTAGATTGAACTTAACATTGGTACACAAATCAAACCTTTGCAATCAAAATTGATTTTTTCCTTCTCTCTCTCTCTCTCTACCAAAACTAGACCTACATTTTACTGTAGTTAACATATGATTATTGGCTCACTTCATTAGGGCTGATATTAAAGATGCCCTTCATGTTGCAAGGTTCAAATAAAAAATTACACTTTTTAAGAAAGGTAGAAAAATATTTTAACTATAAAAAAAAGTCAATTAATTAATTTTGATGATAGATCAATTTAGGATAAAAACATTAACATTTCTGTATGATTATTCTTATAGCATGGTAATATTATAATTATAGTACTACAATAAAAAACATAATAAACTTTTTCATCCAAATTTGTTAATTATTATAAAGCCCCACATTTAAATTACCATTAAACACATAAAACTCTACCACCAAATTCAATTATTTATTACCCTTCTATAGCAATAAATATATGCATTATATATTACAATATATGCAAATTTATTTTTTTGTTTAAGTTGCATGCAAAACAATTATACACACAATCACTTTTCAATTGCGATATAAAAAATTGAAACATGATTATTTGTATAATTGTTTTTATTATAGGATATGCTATGGGGCATGACACCTTAGATTATCATGCAAGACCATATCAAACAACATGAAGTCACTACAAATTTAGTGGGGCTTTTTTTTATTTTATTTTTATGTTATTGAGTGTAAATTTATGATTTTCTAACTATGATTAATCTCTCTCCTCCTTTGTGCATTATGTCATTCGCCTTTCATTTTGCATGGCTATGCTTTATTTTCTGTAGCTTGGAGGCATTTTCAATTGTAGCATGCATTAATGTAAACACAATGCTTTGATCACTTTTGCAAGTGCTTTTCATTTATCATAACTTATTTGTAACATAACACTTTAATTTATATAGTGATTGATTCTTGTAAAGGCAAGTATGATCAATTAAAGCGTAGAAGTGAATGCAAAGTTTTTCTTTGAATACTTAAAGTGTTAAATGCAATAGTTTTTCTGTGAGCAAGTGGATTTTATTGTAGCTACAATAAAACATTAGTTCCATTGACTTCTTACATTCTTAATCACACACACACACACACACACACACACATATTTATAGTGATTTGTTGCACTTGGGCATGTTGGTTTAAGGTATTTGGTGTAGTTTTATTATAAATTTTATTATTTTTACTGATATATAAATTGATATGAGTTTTGGTAAGAAAGAAAGTGAAACTGATATATTTTATATAGTAGTTTTACTTCATGGTTTTTCTTACTAGTTTGTTTGATATGTAGTTTATAACAGTTATTTTATATAGTAGTTCATAGTTTATCTACTAGTTTCACATATAGTTTGATATATTGCTTATATGCTAGGTTATTTCAGTTTTGTAGGTTCCCTAGATACGTCTCACCATCTCAGCCAATAAGCGCTGCATACGAGCCTGCAGCTTCTCATTAGGCAGGTGACTGCAAACAGACACGTCAGTGGAGAAGCAAAGAAATATTTCATTTTCTTACCTTAGTTCTTCCTCCACTTCAGGAGCCCCACTCACACGGCCTTGCAACTTGATGAAGGCTTTCCGTCTCCAAAATGCTCTTCTGGCATCGTTAGGCCGCCATGATGGAACTCCAGCTATTCGCGTCCGGAGTCTCATTTCTTTATGGAGGCCATGCTAAGAGTCGTCGTTGGTGATAAAGTTCCCAGTTGGTAAGGGGTACCACTAAAAAAAACAAAGTACAAGATTGAATTGCGCAAAATTAAATTGACCATACCTTTTCAGCGATATAGAAGTCCCCCACAAGGTATTTGTTCGTGGGATATCGCTTGGGATGATAATCATTCCAAAGTTCCAGTTCTGCGATTCCATCGTCAAGGGACTTGATCAAATCCGATTCGCTCTTGGGCTCTACTCCTTTCTCCTCGCAATGTTCTGCAAAATACTGATGAAGAACAAGGTTTCAGGCACAGCCTCATCATGTACCGGTATAGCGAAGATACGAGGCTAGCGAGATTGTGTTTTCGGAGACTTCCACGAGGCCATGCACGTCTAGAACACCATACGTGTAAGAGGAGCCACCAAAGATAGGAAGGTAAACTGGGTCGTAGTGGCCATGGGCAATGTTGTGCCGAACTTCGACTCGGCCATACCCAACATTCTGTGAGCATAGAAACCAAAATAAGCAAAAGAAATGAGAAAAATGGAAGCCTGCACCTGAAAGACTGCTTGGTCGGATTCATTTGCCTTACACTCAGCGATGAAGGGGCACAGCTCGGCCTTCAGTTGGCCCTTCTTCCTCTTGGATAGCTTTGGATCTTTGAAAACGCAAGGCTTGTGTGTCCTGAACTTGATGTCCGTCCTCGCGTGCTCCGGCAAACCAAGCTCATCCTCGTTCGCCTCGGTAACTCCTTCCCTCTCAGATCCCGTAGAAAAGCTGGAACTATCCTGTAACAGTCATATACTTCCTGTCATCTCTCATTACATGCAAGCATACGTACCATGATGCCAATCTCCACAGCAAAGCCTTGGAGAGCGTCGTCGTCAAGCTGCTGCAAGTGCTGGACCGTTTGCAGCCCATTCATGTCACCACGCATTCGGAGCCTTTCCTTAAGATCTCGAAGCTCCGTTTCGGAGGGGGTGGACATCCAGTAGAACATCTCAACAAGGGCGAGATGCCACGGCCGCATGTTCCCCTCGGTTCTCTGCTTGGCGTAGACGCTAGCATCACAAGGCCCTCAGTTAGCATCAAACAAGTCCAGGAGCAAAAGGGTTCTCTCGGACAACGAACCTTTCCACCACTGCGAGGCGCTCCCACAGGAGGCTTACGACGGTATCCATCGTGTCTTTGGCTATCAAGCCGCCAAAGAATTTGTTCTTTGTGCCCAGTGCTTGCAGCGAGCCCTCCGTCTCCCAGATCGTGACAAAGGGCTCCACTGCCCGCAACACCCCAATGTGGTACGAGCTTTCTGGCACATCGAATGGATTTCCTTTCCTTCCCTTACCAGTATCGGCGCTGCGCTTGCGCTTCCCCGCCATTAGGGTAAACGATAGTTCTTAAAATTTACATATGCCGTGATCGGACGGTCGGTTATGCATGTTTACCTTTTGGGTGAGTAAATAACTTTTGCTTAGCTAGAATATTCGACAAATATTGCTGGGAAACAACTCAAGGTACCTATCTCATTTGAAGAACCTGGTTTTGCCTGCTCGATTTTCAGGCTAAGCAGCAGCAATGTCCGAGCAGACTCTCATCGACCAATAGCTGAGCTCAATGATAAAGATTGATTCCAGGAGATGGATATATTCTTTTTTTCGCCTCCCAATAGCCCTCTTCCTCCATTTTCTCGTTCTTCGAATCCTCTCCTACCGCAAGCCCCTGGCGGCGCCGGAGAACGCATCGATGCTGCCAGAGATGTTCCCGAGCAATCTGCTAATATAAAAAAAGCTTGAAGCGGAGAAGAGAAACAAAAAAAAGAGAAATATTACCTCTTGCGACGCTGGAGAACGAAATCCTCAGCTGTGCCTCGCAGAAGTTGTATTGTCTCGCCACGAATGGGCCAGCCTCGATCCCCTGGCGGTGTTTGTATGGAACCACTCTTTCTTCTTGAAGATACAAGGAATGCAGCCGCCACAGGGATCACAAGCAGCAAGGAGAGCCATAACCTCACCTGATAGCTTCTTGCAGTGTTTCGGACCAAACGAGGACTTCTGTAACTTTTTCCGTTTCGGCAATTTCTCAAAAGAAATCCCGACTTATGTTACTCATCAAATGAGAATCTGGAACACGCCAAATGTCTTTTGACAGCATAAGAAACGTTGACATCACCTCGAGCGAGCTATTTAATCTGCATTTTCCAGTTATTGACACGTCTGTAAATCCACAAAATTATAAGATCGATCATAAGCAGCGTAGCTTAGCTTCAAAGCAAGTGCTTTCGGAACCAAGCTATAAAGTCTTCGTGAGCCTCCTCTGCGTTCTTCACGGCGTTTTCGCTATTCACATCGTAGCGGACAGTCCAGCCATGAGCAGTTCCTGGGAAAACCTTGACAAAGTGATCCTGCGGAGGCAAGGGATTGTCAGATGAACAAAGGAAAAGAACAAGAAAACGAGTGGAAGGAGAAAACTTTACCTGGTTTCCATGCTCGAGGTGTTTCTTAAATTCATTCACCATATCTACTGGCGTTACATGATCGGTTTCAGCGGCGAGGATCGCCAGTGGTGCCTTGCACGCTGCATAGAAAATTTCTCTCACTTCTTAGCATTTAGCAAGGAGAAACAGCGGAAACTTGGCCAACCTTTTATATCGTCTATAGTAACCATCGAAGGGTGGCACATCACAAGTGCATTGCAGGTGGTTTCCTTGGAAGCAAGGATTACAACCTTGGCTGCAAGAAAAAAAAAAGAGAGTAAAAAAACGCGTTCTTTCTCTGGGACGAAAGAACAATGAAGAAGATTACCTCCCCAGCAAAATCCGGATAAGCCTATAGAAGTTATGCCTTTGGACTGAAGCACAGACACAAGCTTCTTGCAGTCTTCCAGTGGTTTGAGCTGGATCAAAAACAGAAAATCAATCGACAAATCGAAAAGAGAGAAGCAAAAAGCTTTACGTGGGGTTTATGGCCTTGAATCCATGTTTGAACCGGCCCGGAAGCATCGGGATCGAAGAAATCCCCGTACAAAAGATCAGGAGCCACGGCAACAAATCCAGCAGCCGCGACTTTGTCAGCGAGCTTCCTGAGAGCAAGGGAAGGAGAAATCAAGAGCAAAATGAGAATGCCGCCATATACCTGAACAGTGGAGCCTTCCATCCTGATTGCCGGAAAGAAAATTTAGTCCTAGGAATCAAAGCTAGGGATGGAAATTACCAAAGACATCGGAGACCAGAATGACTGCGGCAGTGGAGGACGCCGGGTGATTGACATAGACATCGATTCCCCCCCAGGATTCTTCGCCGCCAACGGACGAATGCGTCGCTGGAGGAGCCGGAACGCAGCACTCGGGGCCAGCCATAGCCAAATATTTTGCTCCAAAATAAAAAACCTCGTGAGCAATTTAAACTCCTATGAATGAAGCAAAGGTTAAACCTTGACCGTTCTAGAAAATTCTATTATCTTCTACTAGCACATCCCTCGAAAGCCTGCAATCGCCTTGATCTTCCAGGAAATTTTTCGTGATGTTCCAAACATTTCATGATCTTGTACTAGCACACTTTTGGCTTTGCGCCATGACTTCCCAAAAATTTTCTACAGTGAAGTGGGAATCACAAGAAAAAATTGGTGTCCGATCTGCTGGAATCGAACCAGCGGCCTAAGGATTTCTGGAGCGCACTACAGTCCTCCGCTCTACCAACTGAGCTAAGATCGGATGCTTGAACAAGGCTCTGACAAGAAGAAAGTTGTCAGTGCTCGAATATGCAATGCCTATAGAGGAGTGATCAAATTGTAAGCAACCACTCTCCGATCTGCCGGAATCGAACCAGCGACCTAAGGATGTCTGACCAGACACTACAGTCCTCCGCTCTACCAACTGAGCTAAGATCGGCTTGGAAAAAAACTCCCATTTAAGATTAATTAAGCGGAAGGGTCCCCTTGAAAAATATCATTCGAGCCTATCCGAAGCGATAAAGCGAAGAAATATCTCTACCCGTAGAGTTCTCTTTTTCTAGCTATCGCTTCTACCTAGCTGACTGGCAGGTGGATAGATCCAGGATTTGAAGAGCTAGGGTTCTTTGGCGCGTGGGATCGAGAAGCGATGAAGCCTAGCCGGAGCGATGAGATCCAGTCCCCCGAGGCCGAGCAGCGGCGTGCAAAGGAGGTCCAGGCGCACTTTGAATTGATAGCGCCCAAGCGCCCGATCAAGCCGGCGCGCAGCGAGCCTGGCAGCAATGCTGGAGGCGCCATAGCTGCTGCTGACGCTCCGGCGGATCAGCAGATTCCAGAGCACGCCAAGCTCTTGGATCTCGAGGCTCGGTCGGAGGTAGGGGATTGTTTGAAGATCGGGATTTCGCATGAGAGTGGCTGAAATTCTTTTTCTTCCAGCCTTTGAACACTCGTGGTGGGCTTGTTGGAGACGACAGCTACGCCGAGAACGAGTACTACAAGGATTTGATCGCGGCGGAGAATGGGCAGCATCACACGGTCAGTCAGTCCTTCGCTACTGCCAATTTTCTTCTTTCTTGTGCGTGATTGATGGATCCATGAATTCTATGTTGGCAATTCTTCCACAGACTGGAACTGGATTCATTGATGCGGGGGCTGCTCAAGGCTCCTCCTCATTCCAGCTTGTGGATGATTATGGCAACGCTCCATTTTCATCCAATTCTGTCAAATCCAACCCCGCAACCAACGATTGGGTGCCTGCTCCGGTAAGAAATTCGCGAATACCAGGCCTCGATTCTCACTGATTGGGATCAAACACTGCCAGGGACTGGCACCATCGACCAAACCACGACGACGAAGCAATTAAAAACACAAATCAAAGAAGACGCAAAGAGAAGATAAGATTGTTTATTCTATTGAAAGCAAAGGAACACAAATAAAACAAAGCAAGTGAATCTTTGTCATAATCGTCACCCGCCGCCTGTGAGAATCGAACCCACGACCACGTGGTTAAAAGCCACGCGCTCTACCTGCTGAGCTAAGACTGATAATCCGGAATGCGATATTTGGAAGCTCAAGTACGCAGCGGGCTTGAATGAGCAATACGAAACCAACATATAAATAGATTGATTGATCAAACATGATCCAAACACAATAGATAATAGCAAGAACCACAAAAGATAATAGGAAGATCTCTCTCTCTCAGACACACACACACCCTCATACACGCAAAAGAAAGAAACAAACAGCAGCAAGCACACATATATTACCTGGGAGGCCAGCGCTCTCTCAACACGGACCTTGGTGCAAATCGAACTTCCCAGCGGCAGAATAAAAAGTCCGATCCTCTTCCTTTGGCTGACCTCACCAGTAGAGCAGCAAGACTTAAGACTTAGACCATACGATAGATACGCAGACCAAACCGTTGAAAACCCCCCATCTTCTTCTCCTTCGCAAGATTCTCCATCGTCCTTTCCCTCGGCTGGAGCTTCCAAACTTCTTCCAAAAGGAAGAACTTTGATCGATCGAGCTCGAGCGCGAGCGCGAGCTTAGCAGCAGATCATGTTGGGGTAGACGAAGGCATCCAGGCGGGGGCTGAAGGCGAATCCCTGCATGAATCCCTGCGCCGGGTGCTCAATCTCGCCCAGGAACGGGCAGCGCGGCAGCCATCGCCAGAGCTTCTCGTAGAAGTCATACATGAGCACCTCGGAGCACTCCTGGATGGTGAGGAGGATGTAGTTGCCATGGCCGATGCAGTAGAAGGCCCGCTCGCAGGAGATCCGCATGAACTCCTCGTACAGCGCCTGCGGCATCCTCTCCAGCTCGATCCACACGCTCTTGGGGTGCTGCAGCCCCCAGATCCGGATGCTCTTGGGGACGTTGAGCCTGTTCTTCTCCACCGCCGCCACCATCACCAATCGCCCGCGGCACTCGACGAGATTGGGCGTGCGCAGGAAGCGCCGCATTGGCGCCTGGATCTTGTTCCACGTCCCGGACTCCACGTCGTAGGCCAGCACTCCAAACGGGCTGTAGTTCATGCAGTAGAAGCAGCCGTTCGCGAAGGTGGTCTTGGCGGACTCGAGGTTGCACAGCCGGGGGAGCGCTCCCGCCATCCTCCAGCACTGAATGCTCGAGTCGAACACCTCGCTGCTCAGGTTCTTCACCGCGAATGGCGAGATGAGATCGTCGCCGGCGACGAGAAGCTTGTAGCCGCGAGTGTGGCGATCCACGACGAGGCCCACGGTGGGGACGAATCGCTCCTTGAGCGTGAGCGGGAGCTGGATGCAAGCGCGAGTGAGAGGATTGCACATCACGACCGTCTTGTAGCCGGCCATCTCGGACATACAACAGAGGAGGCCCTGCGAGGACGAGACCACGGCGATCTGCGATGGGAGGAAGCCCAGCGGCAGCAAATGCCAGGATCGCTCTCCGGGATCGAAGAGGAAGCCCTGCGACCACACCCCGGGCCTGAAGAGGAGGAAGCAGTGCCTCGAGGGGGCAACGCGCGAGCTCAATTCAAGAAAGCTGTCGGAAAAGAGGAGCGAGTACCAGCGCTTGCAAACCACGCGGAGCCGGAAGAAGCTGGGCAGTGGGAGCATCGCCAGGACCCTGTCCACGAGCTTCTCCGGGAGCTGGCTCCATAGCCGCTCCTCCAGGAGAGCTTGGTGATGGTGGTAGTGATGATGGGCGAAGACAGTACCACCACCACTATCGCCATCGCCGCCACCACCGGTGATCTTGTTCTTGGCATTCGAGCTGGATTGGATCAGGAGCTCGTGCTGGTGGTGGTGATGGTGGTGGTGATGCTCGTCGTCATTGCTGGTGGTGGAGCTCCCGATGATTTGCTGGGGATCGAATCGGAAGCTAGTGGCCCCTGACACGACGAGCCCGGCATGATCAAGCGCGACGTGGTACCCGCTTCCACCGTCGAGAAGAATGTGGTGATGAGAGATCGTATGCGATACCTGCGTTCCTCCTCCGCCGGTGCCGCCTCCTCCGCCTCCTCCGCCTCCTCCTTCCATCAGCTGGAGCCGCTGCGCAGCGGCCATCATCCTTTCTCTCCCTCGTCACACTCACACCCACACACACACACACACTCGCAAATCCTCTAAATCTCTCGCTCGCGCCTCACATTCTCAATGCTCGGCTCTACTCAAGAGGAGGAAAAGACGATCGACGATCTGGAGAAAAGACTTGCGAGCCAAGCGAGAAGCGAATCGAAAAGAAGAAAGCGTGAGGGGAAAGAGGAACACTTGCGCTGCTCCAGATAACGCCTCTCGCTGCTGGCGCTCTGTGCTGTGCCGCTGCGCTGCCGCTCTACTGCCTAAGAAACTGAGCCCAAAATTCGTAACCATCATTAGCGAAAAAGAGAAGAAATTTTGTTCGAGCCCAACGCCAGGCCTCCCTCTCAGCCCAGGCAGCTAAGTAGAGAAGGGCATAAAGTGGGGACTAGCAATTTGGTAATCGCCGAGGGAGATACGATTAGGGTACCCTCTTGCTCATCAGATTTATGACGCGCTGCACGGATTCGAGACGCGCTGTTGTACTGCATTGTACTGCCGCCACACCGCGCGTCCCCCGCTGCATTCGCTTTGAACTAAGCGAAAGCCCTAACTAAACCCTAAGTAGCAGCCCAGATCTTCTCGATTTTTAAATTTTTTTTAAATGATGCAATCCGAAATGAATACTCCTACTGGGTCCTTTTCTTTTTTCCATTCTTTTCTTTCGCCTGCGCTGATCACCACCTCCACTTCTTTCTCTTTCTCTCTGCCACCCCCCACCACTGTCGTCTTGCGCAAGAACCCTAAAACTCGATGATGGAGAGATGTTGCGCGCTGGTTCGATTCCGCAAGGGGCACAAGCGTTGCAGCTATTTTATTGCGATCACGCGTGGGTTGCGCCGAGTGCTGCATTCCCGCACCTCCATTCTTCCATCAGCCGGGAAAAATCGCCGGAGAAGATTGATGTTATGCATTCTTTCACGTTTTTGAGCTTGTTACGACTGATTGGCAGGCTTGATCCTTCCATGGCTCGATTACTAGGCAAATTCTTTAGTTTTCCATTTGCGAAACTTGTTTTGGCGATGTGTCGTTGTGGTTCCCGATCTTTCCCACGGGGATTCTTTTGATAATGATGCTCATTCGAACATGGCTGCCAAATCACCAACCTGATGTAGAAATTTCTTTTTTCTTGATTACAAGTATTATCTACCACGTACGGAATTTGCATATAAAAGTTCCGTGCATTGTTCGATCGGACAAGATTTCTTTCAGGCGAAACCAATCGAAGGCTCAGAAAAACTTGTTCATGTTTTGCATTCCAAGCAAATCACTTAGGAGGTGATCTTCAATTCCACCACGTCTCGAAAACTTTGTGTCTTTTACAGCGAAGGTTGCGATTCCTTCGGAAAAGAATCTCGATGCAACGCACCTTGTAAATAATGATTAACATTCGTTGCTAAATTAATCAACTTTCTAACAGCATGCGCAGTACCAGCAGGAGACGCCGAGACCGACCACATGAAAGCCCCAGAGATTCTTCACGAGTTTAACAAACATTTCGTGTGTGTGATCTTTGCAAGTCAAGTATACATCGATAAAATACCACAACCAACGGATGAATTAGCACTTTTTTCCCGGAACTCCTCATGGCTGGGCTGTCTGCTACGTAGGACCGCTTGCTGCGTCAAAAAAAACTTCCAGTTCGATCTTTTCTCAACGACCGATCTTAGCTCAGTTGGTAGAGCGGAGGACTGTAGTGCACAACAGGTATCCTTAGGTCGCTGGTTCGATTCCGGCAGATCGGAGCATTTTTACATCTTTTTCTTTGATTAATGTGTTTTATTGGAGTATTTTTTTCTTTTATTTACTTTAATTCTAACACTTTAATTAAAGAGGTTTTTTTATCTCAAATCAATAATGACCGATCTTAGCTCAGTTTGTAGAGTGGAGGGCTGTAGTGCTCTTCAGATATCCTTAGGTCGCTGGTTCGATTCCGGCAGATCGGATCTTTTCCTGTTATCACTTTAATTAATCTTAGAGTATTTTTTCCTTTTGTCACTTAATTAAAGAAGTTTTTATCTCAATAATGACCGGCCTTAGCTCAGTTGGTAGAGCTCAGACAGCGTCAGGTGGCTGGTTCGATTCCGGCAGATCGGAGAGTTTATTTTATTGTTTCCGTCCTTCGGACAAGAAATCGAAGGAAAAAGAAAGAATTTGGCGGGGACAGGAGTTCGAAACCCTGGAGCGTCGGGATCGTGACTCGCGAAGGTACTTAGTTTTGTGCTCGGCTCGGCGGTGTCAGAGAGGAGGGAGAAGCGTGTCTCAATGAATGCGCCATTCATTCATGTTCTCTGCGCTCCATCCAGCGCCACTGAATTCCACAGCCGCTGCCGCATTGATTGCCGCGCGGCCGAGGAGAAAATGCTGCCCTGGCTATGGCGCCACGAGCCAGATTAGCTGCGGCCGAGCAAAGAATGGATTCCTTCCAGCAGCGCCCGGCGATTCCTCCGTGAGCTCATCCTTTTCTCGCCCCTAAACCCACGGATCAGGTTCGCGATTCGCAGTTTGATCGATATTCTTGACCAAATCTCAGGTTTGTTTGCGTGGCAGCTGTGAGGAATCGCACCGTCGACCTAACTTTCGGCCAGGACACAAGCACGAAAAAATTCCTTGGCATCACTTCTTTTTTGCCTCTCTCGCTTTCACGGAAAGTGGAGTCTTGCCAGCCTTTTGTGGAGGTGCGTATTTTTTTCTCTCTTTTTTTCTTGTTTCTTAGATTTCTAGCTCGGCCGATTGGCTTACAGATGATCACAGGTTTGGTGGGTCTCGCTGGTTGGTCTGTTGGTTTGATTTGATATGGACCGGATTGTCGTTGTTAGCTTGTTTTTCGATTTCTTTTCTTCGTTCAAGTCTCTGCGGTCGTGCTTGTCGATGTCTTACATCAATGGTGCATTAACTGGAATGCACCCAGCTGCACCAGTGGCAGCTGCTGCTTTTCTTTTGTTGTGATGCATCTATCGGTCTCAGGTTTGCTGCTGTTTGATGGATTCTTGAGAAGTCGAAGAAGTGGTTGAGTGATCACTTCCAAAGGACTTCGCCTTGTGCGCTTTTGTCTGAGCTCCTTTCTGGCGATTTTGGCAGGGAGAGCCTTGAGAATACGCGGGGAGGGTGCCAGTCGATGGGGATTTCTATTGCCGAGGGTGCAATGTAGCTAGATTTGAGTCCGAAGAGCAGAGAAGATGCAGCTGTCCGAGGTTTGGAAGCAAATTGGAAGCGTGGAGACTGCCGCTACTCAAAGTGAGTGGTAGATCTCAGCTCTTGGATAAGCTATATAATGGTCTTCTTGTTTCGTGCTTCTTCCAGGCATGTCCGAGGAAGTAGCTAAAGTTCTCGGGCATCACAGGCTGGGTAGTTTCCTCATGCAAGGGCATGACTACGATCTCTCAGAGTCTTTTAGAAGCAGGACAGTTCCGGAGGAAATGATACGAGATGGAAATTGCAAGCAGGATGTCGATGATGAGCCAGTCAAAGAGCAGCCGCATGCCACAGTGTCGTACCTTCAATTGTTCAGCTTTGCGGACTATCTCGATTATGTGCTTATCTTCCTGGGTACCGTCGGTGCCTCGGTCCACGGAGCAGCTATTCCCGGGTTCTTCGTCTTCTTTGGGAAAATGATCGATGAGTTCGGCAAGGATTATAACAATCCACACAAGATGGGGCACGAAGTTAGCAAGGTAAGCTCTCGCATTGTTTTCTTGGTTTGTCTAACGCTTCCGTGCTTTAGTATTCTCTTTATTTCGTCTACTTGGGCTTGGTGATCCTGGTCGCAGCTTGGCTTGGTAAACGTCTGCTTTTGTCAACTGGACGACACTTACGTGACAGTTTTCCATGTGCAGAGGTGTCCTGTTGGACTTACACTGGCGAAAGGCAATCGTCACGCATGCGAACTCACTATTTAAAAGCAATGTTGAGTCAAGATGTCGGTTTCTTCGACACCGATGCCACCACCGGTGAAATTGTTATTGGGATATCTAGTGACACGGCACTTGTGCAAGAGGCAATCGGTCCCAAGGTTTGTGTCTCCAAGTTAAAGCTCTGCTTGAAACTACGTAAAGATGTGGTGTGCAGGCTGGAAACTACGTGCATTACATGGCGAGGTTTTTTGCCGGTTTCGCGGTGGGATTTACGTCTGTATGGCAGCTTACGCTATTGACTTTAGCCGTCGTTCCTGCAATTGCTGTTGCCGGAGGAGCTTATGCATACACAATGGTCGGGCTAACCACCAAAAATCAAAAGGCTTACGCCAGAGCGGGGGAGATTGCAGAAGAGGTATTTTATCTTGTCCATTTTACTCTTTTACTTACCTGTTTTGTTCTTACAACAGACTATTTCTCAAGTTCGAACTGTTTACTCGTTCGTTGGCGAAGAAAAGGCTCAGGAGTCGTACTCAAGGGCCCTAGAAACAACCTTAAAACTCGGGAAGAGCGGTGGATTGGCCAAAGGACTTGGACTTGGAGCAACCTATGGCCTCACCTTCGGTTCTTGGGCACTACTACTTTGGTATGCAGGAGTTTTAGTCAGGCACGGTACAACAAATGGTGGCGAAGCGTTTACGACCATACTTAATGTTGTTATCAGCAGCCTGTAAGTATCTGTTTTCGTGCATCTCTACCGCAACTTACCTGGTTTTGTTTTAACCAGTTCCTTGGGAAATGCAGCTCCGAATCTCGGCGCTTTTGCCAAAGGCAAAGCTGCCGGATATAATATACTGGAGATGATCAAACGAAAACCAGCAATCAATCCAAACACTTCGGACGGCAAGACAATCTCAAATGTGCAAGGAAACATTGAGTTCGTGGACATACATTTTAGCTATCCGTCGAGACCAGACGTAACCATTTTCCAGAAGTTATGCCTGAAGATCCCCCAGGGAAAGACAGTGGCGATAGTCGGTGGCAGTGGTTCCGGTAAAAGCACGGTGATAGCGTTGATCGAGCGATTCTACGATCCTATGTCTGGTAAAACTTGAGTCGTCCGTTTTGACGTTTTCTAAATCATTTGGATTCGTTGCAGGCATAATCTTGTTAGATTCTCACGACATCAAGACGTTGCAGCTCAAATGGCTACGGAGTCAAATTGGTCTTGTGAATCAAGAGCCGGCATTATTTGCAACCACTATTCGTGAAAACATTCTGCTAGGAAAGCCCGATGCAAGCGACGACGAAATCTTCGAAGCTGCTACTGTTGCTGGCGCTCATGCTTTCATCCAGCAACTGCCTGATGGCTACGAGACTCAGGTTTGTTAATGTCACCTATTTTTCTTGTGTATTAAGGAAGTTTCAGTGACCAGGTTGGTGAGAAGGGTGTGCAACTGTCTGGCGGACAGAAGCAAAGAGTTGCTATCACAAGGGCCATGGTGAAGAACCCTTCAATATTACTGCTGGACGAGGCTACCAGTGCGCTGGATGCAGCGTCTGAACAGTCGGTGCAAGAAGCTCTGGACACTCTTATGGTCGGAAGAACAACCGTCGTTGTTGCGCACCGGCTGTCTACAGTCCAGAATGCTGATATCATTGCCGTCGTACAGGGTGGGAAAATAGTCGAAACTGGTACTCACTCGGCGCTGATGGCAAAGGGAGAATCGGGAGCTTATTGTGAACTCGTGAGGCTGCAAGAAGCAGGGAAAGCAAAGACTCTAGATGGCCCTCCGAGCAAGCATTCCAGGTATGAGTTGTACTTCCTTTTTATATGGTTCCCAACATCCCTCTTGTAATGCAGGCTTTCTCGAGGATCTTCCATGTCTCAGTTCAGCTTTAGGCTACAGTCCGACGCCGAAAGTCAAAGCATTATTGGCATGGAAGAAGACCAACGTCTAAGTCTACCAAAGCCTTCTTTCAGGCGTCTCTTGAAGCTGAATGCTCGTGAATGGCCTCAGGGCGTTCTTGGTGCTTTTGGGGCCATACTCGCTGGAGTCGAGATGCCATTCTTCGCTTTCGGGTTGACACAGGTCCTAGTCACATACTACAATCCTGACAAGCATTACGTGAAGAAAGAAGTCGAAAAGTACGTGTTTTTTTTCACCGGTTTAACCATTCTTGCGGTTCTGGCCAACACACTTGAACACTACTTTTTTGGCTACATGGGAGAGTGCCTCACAATGCGAGTACGAAACATGATGTTTTCAGGTGAGCTGATGGGTTTGGTTTATACGAACTCTAATGTTCTCTTTTCCAGCTATACTTAAAAACGAACTAGGCTGGTTTGAGAAAGCAGACAATTACAGCAGCTTAGTTTCATCACAACTTGCTAGCGATGCAACTCTCGTCCGTGCTGCCGTTGGTGACAGGCTGTCCATACTGCTACAGAACTCCGCATTAATCCTCGGTGGATTTATAATCGCTTTTGTCCTTCAGTGGAAACTGACTTTGATAGTTCTTGCTCTCTTTCCACTTCTTATTAGTGCCCATGTCGGTGAGGTAAGGTTGTGATTCCTGTGTCGTCGATGTTTATTTTCCGTTTTGCAGCATTTGTTCATGAAAGGTTTCGGAGTAAACCTGAGCAAAGTCTACGCCCGTGCATCCGTGGTAGCTGGTGAAGCTGTTAGCAACATCAGGACTGTGGCAGCATTTTGTGGAGAGAGCAAGGTGTTGGAGCTTTTCAACCGGCAACTCGAGGGGATAAAAAAGAACTCCTTTGCTAGGGGACAAGTAGCAGGATTGGGATATGGGCTAGCGCAGTGCTGCTTATATAGTTCTTACGGGCTCGCACTCTGGTACGCGGCAAAGCTGATCAAGGATGGCGACTCTTCCTTTGGGCCTGTGATAAAGTGCTTCATCCTCCTCATTTTCACGGCGTTTGGAGTCGCTGAAACTCTGGCCTTGGCCCCGGACCTGATGCGAAGCTCTCGAGCAGTCGGTTCGGTTTTCGCAATCCTGGACAGGAAAACAGAGATCGATCCGGACGAGCCCGACTCAGAAATCATCACGCACATTCGCGGTGATATAGAATTCAAGCGCGTCAACTTCAGCTATCCTTCTCGCCCCGACGTGACAATCTTCTACGACCTCAACCTCAAAGTCCGCGCTGGAAGTAGCCTCGCACTTGTTGGAGCAAGCGGCTCCGGAAAGAGCTCCGTCGTCGCACTGATCCAGAGATTCTACGACCCTTCGGCAGGCAAAGTATTGATCGACGGGATGGACATCCGGAGGATCAACCTCAAGTCGCTGCGGCTTCACATCGGGCTGGTCCAGCAGGAGCCTGCGCTGTTTGCGACGAGCATCTACGAGAACGTCGCATACGGGAGAGATGGAGCAACGGAGTCGGAGGTGGTGGAGGCTGCCAAGGCTGGAAACGCTCACAGCTTCATCAGCAGCCTCCCGGATGGATACCAGACTCAGGTTGGCGAAAGAGGGACGCAGCTTTCTGGAGGACAGAAGCAGCGAGTAGCGATTGCTCGCGCGGTGCTCAAGAACCCGGCCATTCTTCTGCTGGACGAGGCGACCAGTGCTCTGGACGCGCAGTCAGAAAAAGTGGTACAGGAGGCGCTGGACAGGCTGATGCGCGGCAGGACGACTGTTTTGGTAGCACACAGGCTATCGACGATACAGAACGCGGGCGTGATTGCGGTGGTAGAGGGTGGTCGAATCGTGGAGCAGGGAAGTCATAGGGAGCTCATGGCCAAGGGCGATGGTGCCTACGCGAGGCTGGTTAGGCTGCAACAAATGAAAGAAACGAGATGACTTATAATAAGTATATAATATTACAAAAATAAAACTGTGGCATCAACGAACGAGCATGTACAAAGTTGCAACTACACCAGGTTTCTGTATGGTTTGTTTAAGAATGGTTTGCTTTCTTGCATCTAGTAGTAAGAGTTTTGCAAGTTTCCCTCCACAACTTATAGGTGTTATTTTAGAAGCAATACTTAGTTGATCAGATCAATATACAAGAAGAACCTCTAAACTTTGTCTTGATCTTGCAGTAAATGAAATCTTTACTATTTATAAAGTGTTTCAAATGATAATTAGATAATATATTTGAAAAGCTTATATATATATATAAATATAAAATGTAGGTTGTACATAGAGCAGTCCAAGTTATGTAGTGGATTGTAAAGGAAAAAAAAAAAAAAAAACAACTTAAAATACAATCTATACAAGTTTAAATATAAAGGGAAAGTGTTGATGAATAAAAATGCACCTCCTTTTTTAATCGGTTAAAAGATATTTTAGGGTTAAGTGTCATTAGGCTTATTGGATGACTTCCCCGGAAGTTTAAACTCATGAGTTTACAATAATTGATTCCAAGTACTTAGAAAAGAAAAGAAAAATATGAAGACGAATATTACTTTTGCACTTTATTTAAAACAAATAATTTTAGAAGAAATTGGTTGCTATTTAGGAATTCAAACTGATGGTAATCTTGTGATATATAATGAAAATCACGAGAAAGTATGGTTATATGATATATATTGGAAAGAGAAATTTAAAGTAATGGCTTTATATAAAGAAACTATTATGAAACTTTTTTTTTTAGAAACCTAAAATTTTGACATATTTGTTAGGTTTATTTGTTTTTATGATGAATATTTATAATACTCTCTAATTTTTATAATTCTAAAAGATAGAAAATTAATAGAATATATTTACTAAGCACATATTGTTGAGCCAAATTCTTTTGCTAAATATAAAAGTACAATAATGGAGATTTTTCTACAAAAATCAATATTTTCATTTTGTTGAATATATTTCTGAAATCATCTTAATATAATTACACATTTAAGGTGAAATGAGGAGTTTAGCTTTCACTGATCCATCTTATTGGAGTGAAAGTCTTTGGTTTAAACAAGATCTTAAAGGCTACACACATTAGAGTAGGCTTTTGATTGTTCTTGGCATAAAAACCTTATACAAATTCAAGAATTTATGAGATAATCTCTTACTACAATCTTTGACAAATCGTGAATTTGGGGCAATGACAATGTAGATGATACATCCCTCTTATTGCTCAAAGTGCATGGATATAACCACCCCCTAACCTATATGATGTTAATTGATTTTCTAAAGTATAGCATTCAAAGGCTTATTAGGAATAAGTGAAGAAAGAAGATAAGCTCAAGAAAGGGCATTAGTATCAACTATAGAATTCCTTAGTTAATGAACAACTTTAAAATTATATATTTGAATCTTTAGAGCATATTAAGTAGTACAACCAACCAAGTTCTTCTATAATCATCCTTTAACAATATCTGACAACAATGCAAGTATGCATGAAACTTCTTGAAACCCCAAATTACTGCTATACACTCTTCTATTGCAGAGTAGGTCACCTCCATTAATTATATAATGGGATGATGCTAATTAGGCATACTCGTGCTCTTTTGTATCAACACATCTCTAAAACCAACATTAATAACATCCATATGCAAGATGAAAGATCAAGTGTAATTAGGATACATTAAAATTGAAGGAGTCGTCAACACTTTTTTAAGATCCAAAATGCCTATATATAATCTTTAGATTAAACAAATGACAATGTTGATGACTTCAACAATGTATAAAAAACTAAAGAGACGACTCAAGAGATGATCTATTGGGGTTTAAATATAAAAAAAAAAAGTTTATGAATAAGAGTTTAAAGATTTTGGGATATTTGGGTTTTAATGTCCTTGAGTTTGAGTAATACTAAGCTAGATGACCTTTCGGGAAGTCCAAGTTTAGAAGCTCTAGCTAAAGTTAACTCAAGGGTAAAGTGTCAAGAGAGTTGAACTGAGATATTGCACATTTTCAAGGAAGTGTTGCATATTGTACTTCGGAGTAAAGTACTTTGGAAGATGATGAAGAACTTATATATACCAAATGGTGTATGGAAAGCAATTTTGAGAATATCCTTCTCAACTATCAGCACTTGCTAATACCCAAAAGTAAAATTTAACTTAGAATTCTTCTAAAATGATCCTTAGTACTTGAAAGCAAGATTCAATTTAGTGAACTAATAATGTAAACTTATGAATTTGGATTTCTTGGGAGGTCATTCATCCTAGTATTATTAAAACCCAAGGACATTTTGTAGCGCACGTGGTTTTGACCCTTTATCCTATGGTGATTTACCATAGGATAACACCACGAAGCGGAACCTAAACCCTCTTTGTGCCACGTGATAGATGCCACGTGTCACATGCCACATGTCCATGCCACGTGTCCATAGAAACCCGAGGTTCAGGGCCTTGGGCCACTGAACGAAGGAACGGTGCCAAACTCCCAAGCGTGGAGCCAAGGAGTGATGGAACCGGACCATGGAGCAACTCCCGAGCATACAGCCCAAGGAGCGAAGGGACAGGGGCCCAGAGCGACTTGGAATAGTCCTGGAGCAACCAGCATCCCAATGCCAAGACTAGCACGCAAAACAGAGCCAAACGGAGTCTGGCGCTATTTCGGCATACCGGTGGCCTAACGCGAGGATATGGGTACTCCACCAACTAACATGGAATGGAACTTGGGCTTAGACCCAAGCCGGACGCAGAACAAGGACAGGCACGCAAGCGGGAGCTAGACTATGCCTCAGGTTGGTCGGCCATGCCCAACCTACCCACTATCCCTACTATACATTTGGAACCCCCCATAGCCCCCCCCGTTGAGGAACACACGCTTTGGGCTTTCACCCCAAGCCTCCCTTAGTATCAGGAGTTAGTCTCTGGGACAAGCTTGAAACTTACTAAATACGGAATGTCCCTAGATTGCGAATTTGGACACGGGACGAACACCATTGTGTTCAGGCCGATCTCTACATTCTGTAGATATGCCAAATGAGCAAATTTGGACACTTTCCATAAATAGCATTTGGGACCGAAATGAGACTAACACAAAGGGCATGATAGCAAGGGTGTTTGGCAGACATGGTAAGCTATCATCTAGCGATATTGAGGGACCAATCTCAATACGCGAGGGTTCTTGTCAAGCCAGTGCAAGACAGAGCAAAAGAGAACTAACAAGCCGGGCCAAGTATGCTCAGCTAAATAGACACTTAGGAATTCCTTCCTTATGCTCATCCGGCCAAGTACAGATGCAAAGTCCAGTTTACTAACACTTGAACAAGAGGGGCCAATAAAGGGAACCAGCAGTACCGACCTCCTGCCATCGTGGCAGTAAGGTAAGAGTGTCCGTAAGGACTAGTCGACAGGTAACTTTCGATACCCAAAGTCACATGCGTGACACTCTCCCCCCCCTAGGGAAGATCGACGTCCTCGTCGATGCATACTCGAGTCTAGAATACCGCCAAGGAAACAACTCCAAAAAAAATTTCACGGTATTCACACTATGTGAGAAATGCATCAACTTAAATGAGTTAGGAGGCAACCTCTTTGTCTAACGCGGATGCGCTACCAGCTCAGACACCTTCCGGCCGTCACCGACAAGGAAATGACCAACGGAGTCAGCCACCCTTGCTGCTCTGGGAGTCACCCAGCTTACAAAAGTGTGATATGCCCCTGCCCGCAAGGACATAGAGAGAGAAGCCAGAGGCCCCAACCCTCCTGAGCAAAAAAACCAAACCCGTCGGTAAGGTTTAGATAGACTACTGTAAACAGGCAGTTAGAGTTGTTTACACGGTCACGCCCTTTTAACGGAATAAGGAACATCGACAGAGAGGCGGGTTATGTGACCAGTCGACAGTAGCTACCCCATGACTAGAGATTTCAACATGCACACGAAGTGCCGAAGCTAGTCTGCCTATTACTGGCCCAAACTCAAAGATCATAGATGGACATTATCAAAGTCAGAGACAATGATATCTTAGAGTCTTAATTATCAGTGAATAATCTTATATTAGAACACAAGAGTATTCCAAGGAAGTTATCATCCGATAAACTAGTAGTAGAGTATAAGAACCACCAAGATCATCATAATTGGTAAACATAGGAATCACCATCCAACAAAATTCAATAGCAAGTATATCATCAAGTAAACTCAATGATGAAACTTAACTACTGAAGATAGCAGACAGTAGGCCAACAACTTACTAGAGATAACTCAAAGAACACAAAATATCATTGACTGACAAACACAATGCTCACGAATGTATCACCCGAAGGAAATAACATCCAAATCTATCAAAACTAACTCGAGCAACAATCAACAGAAGAGAATGAATGCGGTAAGACCAACAAACACTCAGTCTTGCCAACTATCACAAAAGCCAATCTGAATAAATCCCAGCTAACAATACTAAGGAACTTAAGTTGCCTAAGCAAGTGTTAGCAACATCCTATTGATGTCTCAAACCCAATAGACCAATCCAAAGCAAACCACAAAGAACATGTGGTATTGCGAAAAGCCACAAGCCATCAAAGAGAACAACTAACCACCATAAAAAAATCATCAATCATTCTATCAATAAAGAGATGCATAATCATAGTTGAAGAAAGAATCTACCATTTTGAAGAATAGCAAATCATTCTATATCAACAACAATTGAGCAAAACTTTGACAAGGATAATCAACTATCCTAGATGACAGTCAATCATTACCAATGATTGCCAGATGCAAATACTAACTTCAATAGCGAAGCTAATGAGCTAAAATGCCTTCCCCAACAACTTCTAACCAATGGTCCACAAGCATAAAAACTCAAGGAACCAAAAGCTCAAAAAAGCCTATAGCCAAGTCTTTGCCTAATAATGATCACGAGTCTTGCATGAACTAACGTTAATGCTAAAAAGAAATCATGGTACAACCCACAATATCCTCTTCAACACTTCTATAAGCTAAACTTCATAATGCCAAAGCTAATGAAGAGTAGATTTGCATCAATCCAAAAGC